TTCAACACGACTCGACAGGAGTGATACCACGGCCTTTACAGAAAATCGGCGTAACAAAACCACAGCGTTGTATTTCAGTTACCGAAGGCCCAATCTTTATTTTCCCTCATCCCAATGAATAAATGTTTAAAATCCTAATCACCACGAAGCCGGCTATACATCGTAACTCTTCTGGGATTGTTGCGGATGTCCATGGGCGGCGCCGGTTGCTTACCATCATATAATTAGTCAGGTCGTTTGCCAACCTATTACACGGCCTCGGCCTGGATCAGGCGAAGAGACACTTTGGGTTTTAGTAAGTAAGAGTCTGACACTCTCTCGCCCCACCCGGAACGGAAGGAGTCATTTCACGATTTCCCCATCAAAAAAACGATCCTGAGTTTGACTAGTCCCAGAATCACATCTCGATAGCGATTACAATATAACAAGATAAAACATCTAAGTACCCATTCTATATAACTAAATCAGATCCAATATAACATAGCCATAAAAACGACCAAACGACAAAAAAAAAACAAAACGAAACGTAGAACACATAATTTCGATTTTCAAATCTTATTTTCCATTCGTAACGTACCAAAGGCGATCGACGACTATGGTTTTCCCCATCATTTTAATGGCGGTAGGGGCCCAAAGATTATCTTCCCGCGTTTGTCGCAACCCGAAACTAGCATTACGTATATTGCCTGAAGGAAACCGTATAAATAATGCGGTATTTACACCCCTGTTCCATAATGAGGGGGATGTAGAACTGCTTTTGATGATAACGAAGAATCAACGATCGATTTTAAATAAGATTTCTCTTTGAAGTTAATGATAAACGTCTGCAGTCTTGTTGAAAGGATTCGAATATATTTTGCCTTAGAAAAAAAAGATTTTATATACAAAAAAAAAAACGTTTTCTTAATTTAAAATTGACTGACGTAATTCAATAAGAATTGGAGTGGCTCAATTTCTATAGCCCTTGGAATATTTGCTTTAATTGTCATAAAAAAAAAACAAAATACAAAGTATAATTGAATATGCAGATTGGGCGGTCCCTATCCCTAATACCGATGTCTTCCAGACAACCTTCATTGGATTGAAGAAAATTGTTTTTATTGCCCTTAATCTTTGTACGCGTCGACACATACCTACAAACTTTTTGTATACAGCTCGACCAAAATATTATTTAATATTAAAATATATTTTATTTAGTCACATACACAAGGCGAGATCACGATAATAATGTGGTATTTACTTTTATTTTGACAAATATTCAAATTCAATATTATTATTGAAATGACGAAAACTAAACTCTTTATTAACCCTTTACCTTTTTTTTAGCGGTTTTGTATGATATACGGAGTTGTGACGGCATTATTTTACCTTCAAACTACGAAATTGTTCTTTTTTTAATTTGATAGAGAATTGCGAAAATTAAAACGTTTCCTGACGTTAAAAGTAATTTAAAATTTATTGACGTGTTTTACGCGAATATTTATGCACCGAAAAGAAAGTAAGTAACTTAATGGATTGCAGTGATTGTATCGTTGAAATTTATTTTGACGGCGCCCTTTCAAACGATTACGAATGCGCATAAAAGTCAAAAGAAAATTGCAATTAAATAGCAACAAAGCACTAAACTACTAGCACCTACCTAAAACTTTCAGATTTAACATTTTCACTTTCCGACCACGTATTTAAATCTTAGAAAAAGCTTTCGAAAAGCCAACGAAAGAAGAGTTCCGCGCATAAAATTTTATCTTAACGTCTAAATTAAATCGAAGACATAATTTTAAATGCCATTTAAAAACACACTGCCGACTTCCTTATTCATACGACGAGCTCCCTAGTAAAAGACCTACGTGACTCAACTGCAAACTCCTTGTTAAACGCTAACCGACCCAATCGAAAATCCTGTAGCTCCATTTACTAAACGATTCAGACGCGAGACTTCTGAATTTAGCCGGCTATATTTTTGAATTCAAACGCTTTTTGAACTTGGAATTCCATTCGAATATTTTCTGGCGCGAACCAAATTTGACATTTCTTTTTTTTTAATGATCCTGCCACGTGTCGTTTTACGCCAGGAAGTTGTGTTAGTTTTATACGGATATAAAAGTTTTTTAACTGTGAAATCTTTTTGTTGTGGACTTTTTATGGGCTTTATTTTTAATTTAACTTCAATTTTATTGTTCTTCTAAATGGATAAAAGGATCGTTAATAAAAAGTTTTATTTCTTATGTTATAAGAATCATGCAACGGCATTTACATAAAAGTAACACAGGAATTACAACGACAACAGCCTATGATATAAAAACAAAAAAATACCAAAAATATTTACGTGCATAGGTATTTGAAACGACAAAAGAAATGACATGGCAATACCAGATATAAAATGGTGGTACCGTTCAATTTCCACAAACACAAAGAGAAGGGCGAATCAAAATAATTCAAAGGCAATCTGTCGGATGCAGCTCCAGCGACGTCGTTTGTGGTCGGACTCCTTTACCAGGATATAAGGAATTGCGGAAGATACTCATTAAAGCATACGTAGTCTATTTATTTTGGTCTTCATATTTATAATCTATACATAATTAAGTTATTTATTCGAATTGAGCCCCGTAAATCACTGTCACAAAAAATAAAATAGCACTTAATTCAAATCACTTAAGACACAAAATGCTCCAAATATTTCAACAAAATGTTCATATCACAAGAAGGAATTCCTAACGAAAAGAATAACTTAAACAAATTATCCCATCTAGCCATTCTTTTACCAAAATACTGCTTGAATCTTGGTTGCAGGCATCCGTGAAATTCGCTAGCACCCGTCCATTGGCATCCACTGTCAAAATTAAATTCCTCCATGGCGCGGTTGAATACCACAGCTTGGATTAACTTGACTAGATTAAGACGAATTTTGCTTGGTCCTTGTACAAAAATGTGATAAAAATAAAGTACGATACTTATCTAATAAATTAAGGAAACATTCTGTTGGCATACAGCCTGCTTAACAGTGTACAAGATTTTTTGTTAAAAATACAAATTTCTATCTTCGTAAAAACAAGCAATATTCCTAGAAGTTTAGAAAATAAATTCAACTTAATGGCATTTTATAACTACTACGGCTTCGTGCGTAGTTTTAAATTCCATCTTACATAAACATTTCGGGCCTCGTAATCATTCGAAGAGGTTATAAATTTTATCTTTCAGAAAATAAATCAAGTAGGTACTCATTCATAAAAGTTAATATTGCCTAGTAAAGGTAACGAAACACTTCCAACGAAAAGCTCCAAATCAAAATTAAAATCATCTTCGGTCGAACACGTAATCAACTTTGACAGGAAAAGTTTAAGCCTTAAATCCAGATTAAATTAAAAGTTTTCAACGAATACATTAATATTTAATACGTAGGCCACTTTGTAAACGAACACGTGTTTTGTCTATGTCTCATATTTAAATTAAGAACGCTTTTCTTTTTACGAATGTTTTTTTTTACACGCGTCATATTTTTAAATATGGCTGCCAATTTTTATTTTCTTTTGAACATTATACATATTTTATACATAAATTTGAGTAAAATAGTCTGCTAGACGGATTAATTACTTAGTTCTATAGAAACGTGTACTAATCCGCTTTCCAATTTAACAAGTTGTTAACTTATTTGCTACATTCGAGTAGAAAATATGTATACATTTTGTGATGTTAGTAATTAATCCTTTTTAGGTTTCATTTTTACATATTTTAATGAGCAATAACACATCAGTTTTATTTTTAAAGTCTACCTACATCCATTATGTATTTTGTTTACTCTAAATGTCCTTGACATTTCTTATTTCGTACTAAGATACTTTTATCACAACGAGCAATTCTTTTTGTAATCGACTAAAATTGAAATGGACAGTTCTATCTAAACCTACGTAGAAAAATATCGTTAAAAAGTAAAAGCAACAAAATTTACTCTCCCTCATCATCAATCTCAATTCATCATCATGTTAATGAATCTTGATTACGACTTGGTTTAATTACAACATGCGGGTGACCACCCAAGTGCAACAACACTTACTATACTCAAACCAAAACTCCGAATCAATTAAAAAACTGACTAATTACTTAACTTTGGACGATAAAAGGAAAGAGATAAGGGGATAAAGTAATTACTTAAGTCGGGGTTATCTTTCTTTTCCTTTTTTCGATCGGGTGCCGGGTCGTGGTTCTCCCCCGTGTGCGATTTGCGGTGATCAGCTTTAAGAGTAAGGGTGCGTCGTGGTTAATGGCTCGTGTTTTGTTTTAGATCGATAGCGGTCATTGGTCAATTGGTTAAAGTTTTTATTTGTTGTATGTAAAAAAGGATTGTTATGGCTTCAGTTTTTTTATTACGAATGTGTTTTGTAACTCTGGTAGTACCTATGTGTTTCTTTTCTATTTAGAATATCGTAGGTTTTTGAGACGACTTGGACTTAGATAAGTGCTGTACTGTAGGTATTATAAACAGTACGAAGTATGATAAGTAACTTTAGGTAGGCTATTTAGATTAATAATTACCTACAGATGTCTTATCGATTAAGAAAATAACTTATTTACTACTTACGGATATTTGCATATAAATTTTCTCATGTACTTTCTTCTGTAAAAAAAAAATCATCATTATCAACAAAAAAATATTTAAAACTAAATTAAACAAATACTTAAGACGAATTTCTATAACTTCACTGTTTCTGCATATTTTGTCGAGACCTCCAAAATAGAAAATGTCTAGAACAAACTGGACACAAATGATAGACCATGTAAAGTTGTTGTACAGGAGAAGTTAAAAGTTGAATGATTATGAATATGAACTTTGATGAACCGATTTTTGAATAACCAATATAAACCTTTCAATCGTGTTAATTTGAGACACAATAGAAGTCACAATATGTTCGCGAACGCCGGCGTTCGCTTGGGGTATGACGAATAAAATACAATGACTTTAAATTATAAAACAAACATTAAATTATACATTGTCTCTCCCACAGACGCTACGGGGTGGTCGACAAAAGGTTCTGCGTGGAAGGAGGCTCCCGTTGCGGTAAGGGCGAAGGCCTGTTCATCTTCGCAGCGGAAGGTGGCAGGGAGCTGACGGAACTCCTCAACGTGTACAGTCATGAGGCACAGTCCAGGCTCAGCATAGCTTCTAGGAGTGGATCAGGTTGGTGTTTAAAGAATTCTGATTACGTATCTTTATGGCGTAATCGCCTGTATGTGTCGTTGGTTCCCACATTGGCCCTGAGGTTAAGGCGCCTGCTTCTCATGCATGAGGGTTCGTAACCTGGCTTTATCTGTGTTATATGTACTTTCTATGTTTTTTTATATAAGTAGGCAAACGAGCAGACGGATTACCTGATGGTAAGCAATCAACGCCGCCCATGGACACCCGCAACGGAGGAGTTACGAGTGCGTTGCCGACCTTTTAGGGATTAGGGATTTGGAGATTTAGGGATTGGGGAAGGGTCTGGGAAGGGGAAGGATTGGGCCTCCGGTAACCTCACTCACACGGCGAAACACAACGCTGTGGTTGTTTCACGCCGGTTTTCTGTGAGGCCGTGGTATCACTCCAGTCGAGCCGACCCATTCGTGCTGAAGCATGGCTCTCCCACACTTGAAGCATGGCTCTCCCACACTTTTATGATTATTAAGATACATACGGCAAGGAAAACATTTTTCGGAAATCTGGAGTGGAATTTCTAATTATAAGTTTGAATTCACCAAGCTGCCTTGCGCAAGCGTGGGAATTAAGGTCTTTGTTCAGCAGTAAGCACTTACAGGCTGATGATGTGATGTCGTTAGCCTTTTCTATGGTCTTGTGTAGGGAAATCTGAATCTGAAACCTTCTTGGTCTTAAACTTGAGTGTCTATACGTATTAAGAATATTTTTCAACACAGAAAACTAAATAAAGTAGTAGGTACCACTAGCATAATCTTACTTATAATAAAAACTTTAATAACTTAAACTCTCAATCACGGATCATTAACGAATCCGCTTATCTATAACACTCAAGTTTAAAAACAAACACGTTTGTCTATTAGCAAACCTACTTTTTCAAACATAATCGTACTTTTCGAAGGCACCGCTTAAACAGACTTAAATAAAAAAGAAACAATATTGACAAAACACTTGACCGTAAAATCCGAAGTCACCTTTTAAAGTTCTTGACGTTGTAAAGGAGTGCCTTGAGTACACGAGATGTCATTCAGTAAGCCTAATCTAATCTTCTAAAGATAAATAAAAATGGCGAATATTTCTTATAACTTTGTCCACAAATAAATATAGCTCGCATCTTGGTAGAATTATTACTACAGGACCCGACAGTAGCACGTCGAAATATACCAACCTATCAATGTAAATTTCAATCTGATTGTTTTAAAATAAAGTTGAATATCGATCAAAGAAATGTTTTGAAATAAACAAAAACGTGCCTGCAGCTTGTACTTGCAGGATGCACTTGCATCTACCCTTGCACTTAATTTTTAGACAAGAAAAAAAGTCTAAATTTTGTATCTACATAAGATAAATACTAAAACAATACATTTTTAGAATTTTGAGTTTCGAATAATAGATGTCGCTGTTTAATAAAATAAACGCAGCTTGAACCACGTGTTACGAATACTGATATGAATTCGAAATTCAATCTCTGTTGCATAGGTGTTATAGATTGTTATTGCTTACTTTTTCTTATACTCACGTAGCTCAAACTACAAAATGCGAAAGTGTTCTTGATAGGACATCTTATCATATATTAAGAAATGGGAGTGGTGGGATAGTTGGGCAACCTATCGGTGAAGTTTTCGCAATCATTTGTAGCTTACGATTAATGTAGGACGGGTTATACGCAGTCTTTAATAAATAGTCTTGTACTATCAGTAAAAAAACCTAATCCATAATAAAGATAAGCTCCCAAAGATATATTTGCAATACAACTGCTACAAATCTAGGTGCTACAATATTGTCCTACCATTCTCAAATTACATCAAGCAAATATCATCTTTAACTCCCACCCTCAAGTATGACGACATCAACTAATCTTCTTTCCATTCTTTCAGTGCTAGAAAAGCGTTTCTCAGACGCCAGTTCCTGCATGGACGAGTGCTTTCACACGTCTCTAAGGTCCGTGTCTCCATCTTGGGCAGCCCCTGCAAGTCAGACCATGCACTGCCTATCAGATCTGGACTCCAGCCTTGATAGTGAAGAGAAGTTCAGGAGGCCCACCTCATTGCCACGGTGTTCCAGTTGCATTGGAAAGATCAGTCATTTGACTAGGTAAGTTGTTGGTGAGATGGTTTCCATCTTAAGTGTGGTCTAGTAAAGGGAAAATGGCATTTTTAGTCAGTTAACCTTTACTTCCCATTTTTGAGATATCCTTTAAGTTACAAGTGTATTAAATTATTCAGTAGGCACTTAGTAGTAAACAAATTTAAAATATTTTTTCATATTTCCAGATCGTCAACAATGAACACTCCTGGTTCAATAATGTCCCCAGTTTGGACAATGGACAATATTTTGGAAAAGCGCTCGGATTCTGACCGAGCGTCCATATACTCTCGGTCGAGTGGTAGTGCATCAGAGTATAGTGTGCCACGCAGTACCTGTCTCCTAGACAAGAGTTTTGAGTCCAAACGTGCAAGCCCAGTGGCTTGCTGCACGCCCACTGTCCCTGCGAAGACGGGCGGCAGTTGCCAATGCTGGCAGCAGGTTAAACCATGCTGCTGTAGAAAGAAATCCTTCAGCGGACCCTACGAGAACTACGATGTTCCAAAAACACCAATGCCCTTAATACAGGTAAGCCCTAATTAACAAATCTGCAAACATTTAAAAGTCATCGTAAAAGATAGCTTCTAGAAACTTCAGTACTAGTTATACAAGTCTGCGAGTTTTGTAGATAATGCGAATATTTTATCTAACCGTACCTGTTCTATAATTAACGTATTTTTGTTATAGGAGCACCCAGTAGACTCTCACACGGACCCCTCCAGCATATACGACACACCAAAGAAACTGAAATGTCTGATCAACGGGCAGCCGTGCACCTGCACACACGAAGCCAAAAACGTAGAGAACCAACAAACAGATAATAACAACACAAGTGATACTAGCATAAACAATAACGAAGCTGAGACACATTCCAACTACGTCAACGTTACCCCACAACCCACTGCTACTAAGAAACCAGTACCAGAAATAGACTTTGCCAATTACGCCAACATAGACCTCACGACACTTGAAAAGTTCGAGAATTCGCTACAGATTCTAAGAAGCGCTGGATTCAGTCAAGAAGAATTAGACGCTTTAGAAGACATACCTGAGCATGACGACGATATATCAACCGCCACAACGAATACTGTGCATCCCTCTACAGATTGTTGTAATGAACATTTAAATTACATGCACATGGAACCACTAGAGATCAGTATTTCAAGTAGCAAACAGAATTTCTCAGACAATGTGAGTCGGATCAGTCATGTGTCGGACCCCACACAGCATTCTGAGTCAGACAATACAATCAGTACGCGGCGATCAAGTTCCGCGGACTTTACGAAGAGACATGATGACGATTATGGAATGAACAATCGGATATGTTTCACGCCAACTGTTCTTAGGAAAGCAACAGCGACAGATCGAATTAACGAAGGCGTCCAAATCAGTTTAGAAATCATTGAACCGAAGGACAAATTCAAAGTTCCCGAGATAAAAAGCGAGAACGCACTGGTGACAAAGTTTAGGGACGCTGTGAAAATACGGCGTTCATCAAGTGTTCCTAGTAAATCCGATAAGAATAGAGATTCGTCGAGTTCAAACGATTCGGGTGTTTCAACTGGGTCTTTAAAGCATCATAAGGGAGATTTTAACGACTTTGAAATGCCAATAACCAGTTCGAAGTCAATAAAGAAGCATGTAAAGAATAATAAGCAGATGAGGAAAGCGCTAACTCCAGTGCATGCCTTCGTCAAGTCCAATTCTTCAGACCCGTTGAAGAACCTGACATTTCAATTTGAGGAGGTGGCGACGTTGACGAAATCTAATTCCTGTGATGTGGACACGCTAACGAGACGGAAGAAGAGACCTGGTAAGTTTTTTTTTTATACATTGGCTTATTTAACCTACCTACTAAACCTATGTTAAAAGGCTATTCGTGATAAATTGTACTAAGCTAGTACTTTCAAATTTGAAGGCCAGACTTGTGTGTTTTTGTGGCACGCAATTTTAACTTATAATTGGTTTTAGCAAAACAAAAAACAACTTAATTTTGAACTGTTTTTATAAATATTTTTTTTAGTTTTATTCGAATTAGATTTACTACCTGAGGTAATTTGGAAGAACCTTTCGTCTGATTATGTGTTTTCTTGTTTTCAATAGAAACCGATGTCACAGCCCGCCACAGTCAGATGACGACCAAATCTACATCCAGCGGAGCGTCCGACACGTCCGACTACATGGAATCCCTCTCCGTGTCGTCCTTCAGCTCATGCGATGTGTCGGCCGATAGACACGTCACTAGGCCGAGGTCCGGCAAGGAGTACGCGAGCATTGATAGGACAGCGCTAGTCTAGTTGGAACCAATATTTGTGCCAATATTCGAACATGTGAATCGGTGGAAACTATTTCGAATTCATATTAAAATATCATTAATATTAATATAAAAAATGATGGATTTCCACAACAATGAAAGTTAGCCTATCTTTTTTAGTAAAAAACGGAACACCCTTACAATGTAATTTCACGAAAAATTCTCCGCCAAAGAGATCATAAAAACATCGTGTCGCTAATGACGTTGGCTCATGTCACGAAAGATTTATGAGTCAAACATTTGCCAAACATTCATCCAAATTATTAGTTTGAACAGTGGCCTGTGACGCAGGGACGCAGGATTGATAAAACCAAGGTCATGTTTACTTAATGCTATGCCCTCTACTTGCTAGGGAATGTCACGACTTACATTTTTATCAACATAATTGGGTATTGACAGAATAATCAAAAAAATAAAAAACATATACACGGTCAAATTGAGAACATCTCTCCTTTTTTGAAGTCGGTTAAAAAGTAGTCACAGTTTCATTAATTAATCGACTTTTCGACGATATACTTAATAATTATCGTCATTTACTAGCAAATTTGTAATAATTATTATACTGTTTAAATAAATCAAGTCACAACATACAAAATCAGAATACAGCCGATTTAAAAATTTCGAAAATACATAATATTGAATTTAACTAGTAGTCGAGAACCCAATTTATATGTTCAAGACTTATCTTTCGATAATGTACGTATATGTACATTGGCCCTCAATTTGCCAGGCAAATATAAATATGTATAATGTATATCCTACCAAAAAGGTAACCCAAAACTTTTATATCATAACTTTCATTTAAAAGACATCACTTTCATTTAATAAAACACTTTATTTTAAACATTTAAAATGAATAAATCAAATGAAACTTGTAAATATAATGTACATACAGTTCATACGTTTGTTCCTATGTACATAGATATAAGATATATTATGTAAAAGCAGTTATGAACGAATTTAGTTTTTTAGTAGCGTGCCAAAAATAATGTAGCTTGCTATTATACTGGTTTTGGGTATTGTAAAAAATTAAATGTAAACTTCATTTAAACAAAGAATGTTTCAAATAAAATTGTACTTGGATTAAAACTACAATTTAGAATTTTGTGTATCATTTAAAATGTAGCCCTGTATATTTTAAATGTAAGTTTTAAATGTAGTTTGTGAACATCATTTATTGTGTTAGGTACTTAAATTATTTGTGCCTTTACTTAAACATGTGTTGCTTAAATATTGTCTTTTATTGTGTTACCTTCAATTAATTTACTTTAAATGTAAGTCTTTGATAACTAGTTTTATAAAGCAGTATGAAAATGTGAATATTCTTATAAATAAGAGTTGGTTAAAGTCGCCTATACGCAATTCATAAGCAATAGAAAAAGTTAAATAAACTATTATTTAAAATTAATTACGAAGTGTTAAAGTGTTACTGGTAAAGAAACACAGATGGCGTTAGTATCGTATTTTTTATTAAGAAGAGTGTTGTTGACATTGTCTTTTTAAAAAGAATAAACTATAGTTAATGCTTAATGCATGTAAAACGTGACTTAATACGATCATTGTAATTAATTTTAAATACCAATAAACTATGAATATAATAACTAATACTTAAATGAAACATTTTTAAGTATGTAATTGTAGGATTTTTATATAAAGAAACTGAATTCATTCGAACAGTCCTACCAACATTAATATATTATTTTGAAACGAAAAACTATTTTTTCATTTCACAAAAATTACTTTCATCGTAAACCCCGCCACATCATTTTAGTACATCCCTTAGTTATTTCTTTAAACATACTTCGCTAGTTAACTATTTGATCCAACAATTACATAAATTTTGCCTCTTATTCTAAAGGAGAAACCAAAATCTGAATAATTTGATTTTAAAACCTATATTTACTTACATATTATTATGTGTAAACAGACCAAAAATGTATCTATGTAAGTACTTAATGCAATTTAGGCATCGCTTGCAAACAAATAGGTTTTTATTGAACAAAAAATTGCATATATATGATTTAGTTACTAAGTTGCATCCTCCAAAGGAAGAAGCTCATATCTGTAAAATGCTAAAGACAATCCCTTTGCTTAAATTTTTCTCCCATACCAATAATGTGTGGTAACTTTAGTCCAAAAAGAGCTATACACAATGGCCAATACAAAATAAAATAAATAAATAAATCCTTTTTATTTTATAAATCATTTTAACACTATCACTCTATATTCATTTACAAGAAATATGACAAACTAGTTTGGTTTCATTTTTTACTCGTGAGATGGCGCTAAAGTCACGTTATGTTCTATTAATCCAACCAACATAACTGTAATTGGTACTTGTTATCTGGCCTATGACTTGACGTTAGCAGATGTTTAGGCAAGACTTTATGCAACACTAGCGCCGATGGCGGCAAATTGCTCTAGATAAAAGAACTCTGTAGCTGAACATGAACAGCCAGCCAGCAAAACAAACGACTCGAATCGGTCAAATAGATTTATAACTCCATTACAAATTAATTTGGTTGAAAATCAGTTGAAGGTAGTTATTTGACAGTTTAGAACAACTTCATTATGCTGTAAAGTCTACCTATACCTTCTTGCATAGAAAAAAGACATGTGTTGGTTTTAAAAACAGAAAGAATTGATCTTCTAAAATGGAATAGCCGATACGTTACTTCTCTAGTCAACGGCTCGTGGTGATCACAATATTGATTTCTAAATTTAACAAAAAATGCCTGATTATCAAGTTACTCTTTGATGTTGATAAGATAGTGTTTAACCATTACTAAAAAGATTGTAGCCAATTAAAACTCGTCTTATGACCAAGACTTCGCATTGCAATTCAAAATCTGGATTAAAATCCAATTTTGATATATGTTGTATAGATATTTTGTCAAAAAAAAGCGTATAAACTTCTTCCATAAAAAAATACTTACTTCAATCACAAATTAATTTAATTCAAATAAGTCGTGAAAACATCAGGTTATTTTCGTAAACAAATTCATTAATTCTTTCATTTCATTTTCTTCAATATTTGGAATAAACCATAGCGTTATGAATATGAATTTCTAAATAAGGAATTATGATCGACCTTTAATTGAGCGAGTGAGAGGGGACGCCAATGTCCACTTAGGGTTTTGAGCAATGGAATTGCGATGAGGCAATGACGTCTGCGTATCAGAAAACATCGATGTTCGCTTGGTGATTAGTAGTTATTCTTTTTGGATTATGAAATGATAGCAGCGAAAAGTAAACAGCAGAACTAGCGATACAAAATCTCTACTCTTTTATTTAAAGTTGGTTTGAAAACATATTTCATCGTTTAAATGTTTCATCATGCACTAAGTACCAAGCAACCATTTTAAATAACTCAACTGACTGTACAAAAAGGGAAAACACCCAGACCCGATCAAGTTTTTTTTATAAATTCTGGTCACCACATTTTGAGGTTATTTTTTGCACGGAATGGAATGTTAAAAGCACAATTCTACACATAGATATACATACACACCTACAATATAAGTATCTACCTACTATTATCTAATATCTAGTTAATTTTATGTACAATAAATAACATATTATGTATGTAAGTATATTTTCTTAAGAAGTTTTTGAGTTGCAGACTGTATTAAGATTTTAAAACGTTTTGTAATAATACATAGCAACTGAAAATATATAAAATATAGTGCATTTTGAATGATAATTGTTTTTTTTTACTTTTTTCTATTTTCACCTCGGATGTCTCAGGCGTCATGTATTTAGGACAAACCTGATATAAGTACCCCTTTAGCCAATAGACCACCACAGACGAGGCCCAATTTATATGGCTGATGTCCAGCCGGTGATGAGGGTCAAGGGCACTAAGGTACCACGGCCTCGGACCGAAGCAAAAGAAGGAACGGAGGGGTTTCATTCAGTAAGAGTCTGACACTCTCTTTTGCCTCACCCCAAGCAACAGAAGTCATTTGATGATTTTTCCCTCACAAAATTCATTTTTCCATGCAATACATAAGCCCAGAAAAATATTTCACAAAAAAAAAGAAACCAGAGAATCATCGAATTTAGCATGGGATCACCAGAGAAAATTTTCAGATGAGAGGCTGTTTTAAGAAAAATTATATACATAAATACATTTTTTTTTTTTGTAAAACAATCCCTAAAGTCTATCCATAATCTACAGGAACAGGTACATCGGCCTTATCTGACATACACAGCTCAATCAAAATTGTATCTAGCTGGGCAAAGTGTCTTCACCAACCCAGTACCCAACTTATCTTCTAGTTAAGAGCTAGAGCCAGCAACAAACGTGTTTGGACTGCCAGATATGATAAATCCGGAGAGAATATACTAAAATTAGTATTACGTACTTAGGTATCTAGTTTATACTAATTAGAAGGACTAGAATGAATTACTAATTATACGTTACCATAGTTATTTAAGTGTTTAAGAACCATACTTCGGCACTAAAGGGTTGCGACGACCAGAGCGATACCAAGGCCTCACAGAAAACCAGCAATCAATAAATTTTATTTGAGTAAAATGAATACCAAACACAATAAATTGTTAATCTATACTATTATTATTAAGAGTGAATTTACTCCAATACTACTTACATAGGCACTTAACAGATTTGAAAAATTATTATATTGTAGGAAGGTTCACTATTTCACTACTATCTCTGGTTAAAAAAACTGGGTAAAACCGGGGACAAATGCACTTAAATAAAAAAAAATAAAGACACTATTAAGGCTTAAAGAAAAGTCGCATCTTTTACTGTTGTGTATTGTATACAACTATTTCGCCAACACTCACACAGTCTTCGGTAGTATAGTGGTCAGTATCCCCGCCTGTCACGCGGGAGACCGGGGTTCGATTCCCCGCCGGAGAGATCCTTTTGTACTTTTAGTTAATTTCTATTGCGTTTTCAAAAGTTTTTTTTATTAATTTTTTAAATTTTATGTTTTTATATGCGTTAAATAGTAT